TCCTTAATAATGACAGGATCTTATGAATTGAATCGGAGTTCGTGCAGTGGTTTTAGCGAATCTATATTGTGTGCATTGTGCTTTGATGTTTGGACTTGATTTTGTTCTGGGTGAAATTAGATATCAAAGCATACCTTCAGTCTTAAGGAAACTGATGTTTCATGTCAGACTGTAAGTCAGTTCACCAAATATTGCAATCTATGACGTTATAATTCGAAAATAAATAAAACCGGTATGCAAAGATATGCTGTAGTTTTAAGTTCAAGTACCAAAAGAAAATAAAGAATAAACTCACGAGCATCGTTTCCAGTCATTATCAGTCGTGTTACCCATGACCTTAAACTGCACACTGTGGGTGCGTCATGGACCTCACATAAAAAATCTGGACTTCATAAAATTATCGAAACTTGTTTGAAGTCAGATTTAAAGGCACCGCAAATCCGGAATTCGAGTACTTGCCCACGGATATCACGATAAAGTAAGCAGAAAAATACTGATAACAAAAACACTATAAAATGTGTACAAAACGAGGGAAATTTGGCGGTACAAAATGTGAATTTTAGTGATGGTGAATGTTCCTGAGTGACTAGAACCTGGCGATTGCGGATAAAATGAAAGATATTTTTGCAGATGATGCCGAAGAAAGAAAATTGTTGAGTGTTGTGGTTGATTATCTGTAGAAAGCACATCATCGTAACTGTATTTTAATGCAGTCAGTAATACAAATGGGCTTTGGCTACTAGTATTCTTCAACCTTGATTGCTCGGTTATTTATCGACGTTATTGAGTAATGTAGCAAGTGTTTCAATGAAGGTTTACAACATTGATCACTTATTCATCTACTGAACACATCGCTTTGACTTTCATGAAATTACATCAGTGTAAATAAAAATGTTTTTAAAAAGTTTTTAGCTTTTTTTGTGCCTTATCGGTCATATAAAACAAGTGTTTTAGAACTGTGTGGCCATTATCAAAAAATTTAAGAACGAGAGATGTTGATAATCTTTTCGGTGCATTCACCGAGTAGCCCTAAGAACCGTAAGGAATATAGTTGAGTGAAATGGCTTTATGAATGGTCCGTCTTATCATTATTATTATTAATATTATTGGTGTATTTATCCACTAGAGCAATTTAAAAAAACTGGTGATAATTATAGCTTTTTAAACAATTTTTAAAAACTTTTTTGATTCTGAACAACAAAATCTGCTTTGTTTGTGACATCTTTGGGGCTTCACCTGATTTGTTTTAATAGAGTGAACGATTTAAATAGTTCAAAAAGCAAACTTTTATGAGATCACAAAGATATAAAATTAAAAAAATACATTAGGTTATTGAAAACTATAGACATAAGTTCGAATTTCTACACTAGTAAAATTAACGATCATATGCAGTTGTTCTTGTGGGTCTATTCTTTTGTACTGAGCATTAAAATTTTCAGTCACACGTTACCATGATAGGGCAAACACAGAAAGGATTGGAAGTTTTGTCTTCTTTACAAATTCTATGGTGGTACTTACCAATATATTTGAGTCAAGTTGTACTGTCGTCTGCTCATTTCAATCATGTGAGACATAAACATTTTGATTGTGACTTTGAATAAATTTAAAATATATATTGTGACCATTTTGCTATGTTTCTTTTAACGACAGAATTTGGTCGCGTAATCCCTTGTTTTTCTTGCAGATATTACTTGCTATTTCAGCCCCCCTACTTTATGTGGTTAGATTATTCATATAAGTATGCACAAATCTCAGATACAGTGTTCCGTGTTTTTTATGTCTCGTCTATTTGGACTTCTGTCTCTTGTTGAAGTATGTGAAACGTTTATTTTTAGTTCATTTTGTTTGTTTGAATCTTTCATTGATTTTCAAGACTGCAATTGATCAGTCTATATTGACATATGCCCATCCTGTGCGGATTGCCTCGATACCGACTTAAGTCAAAGGCAGAGATAGATGGTAACTAGCAAGGGAGTCAAAGACGCGCGTTTTGTCTTGTTTGGGGCCCATCAGCTGGATGCATCTTACATCTTCTAGATTTTATCTACTCACGATTCCAGTGCTTTGCCAATTACATTATCATCTTTGGTTTTTTGAGTGCACTGAGATGATCACATTGACAGTAATAAAATGTATTGTATGGACAGCATATTTAAATCTTTGGTTTGATAATTGTTAGGAATGTACCGTAATCGTTGAATAATAGCGTCATTGATTAGCCGTAATAGGAGTGACCCCAGCGAACTTTAATCTGTCCATAAATTTGACAGCTGACAAAAATATTTTGTCATAGGTATCTGATCATGTTTTTGTGTTTTATGAGAGTCGTTGCTCATTGCTTAACAGTTATGGAATAGTATACTAGGTAGGTTCTGCTTCTTTTGAAGTGAATAGAGCTGAAACACAGAAAAATACCATTATTTTGCTGTGTTGGCGGTTTATCTTTGATTTCGTTTACGAATTGTGTTGGAGCACTAATAGAGTGATCACATGGTTCTATATCACACAAATATGACAACCTCAGATTGTTTGTTACCGATGAAAATATTTACAACAGAACTACTCCATTTTACTCTCCAAATCTTGTTGTTATTCGTTTGAAGAAGTATCAAGAGAACAAGAGGTATGAAGTAATCGTAACTGATAAAGAAGTAAATATTTGAAAATCCATTTTAATAAAGTTATTGGAATTTTCGAAATTTATTGATAATTTCAATAGTGAAATGCTCACTAGTATGTTTTGTACGGATACTGTTGCGCAACATAATTGATGAACAGCGAACTTTAGTAACCGTTAAATTAATATATATCCGGATTCCAGTGTTTATTAAATGAACCAATAAACAAAATTTAAGAAGTTTCACCTGGTGTTTCTGGACCAAGTTTATAAGTAATAGATTATTAGACATTTTAGTACTCAAATAGGTTATTCAATATAAACAGCTGAATTCGTACATGCACTCATCACAATTATGAGATCATAGAACCAGTAGTTTGTTACTGAAATCTTTTCCAACAAGTCTATTTTATGTTTAATCTGCAATCTTTGCTCGTATTACATTGCATGTTGTATTCTTTTCAGCTTAATGTGCTTAGAGACACTGATTATATTAGGCTGGCCATTTATTTTCTACTTTTCACAACCCCTGACTTATTTGCTTACTTAGATAGCCAACTATGTAAATAATGTTCTGATTAATATTAATGGTAGTGCTTACATATCGTTAGAAATAAACTTATTGAAAACTTTTCTATAGATTCATATTTATTGAAAAGTACGTAAGTATTTTTGATCCTGAAATGAGAGTTATTCAGCCACCTTATAACAAACAGACGTGTTGCTTTGTCTATGTCGGATGTGGTCGCATTAGGAATAATACATATGAAATACAAATGTTAAAATTAAAAGTATTTATCACATCATACCATTTTATAACTTGAATGAACTTTGCTTTATCGAGAATGAATTTTAATGTCACAAGATATTAACACTTGTCAATCGAACTCAATAATCCGTAAAAGACTAGGAAAATATGATAGTTGTCATTACTCAGTGATCAGTCGACTGTAGATGTTTCAGTCCTACAGGAGGTCAGTCTTGGCTGTGAACCTGGACGATGTGTATTTGAAATCATGGAGAGAATCAGTTTCCTCACCATTTCATGTAGACCTTGTTGAAGGGTCCTAACTATAACAAAAAATAGGTTCATATTTTTTGACGGACTTTTGTTCTCTGAGCTGGATGGTTTGGTCGTGGAGCTTTCATCGTTCTTCTGAACGACATCATCAGTAAAAACTTCAGGTAGAAGTGAAGCATCCGAATTTTTCCACATATGGTTGGCAGCTTGTCCTGTAGACCTCGATGTTGATTGGTTCTTGCTGACCTTAAATCTGTCATTGTTTATTTCTTTGTTTTGGTTGCATCTCCCATTTGTTTGATTTTTGTTCCTATGTTTGTCCACAATTTTCCTGATTTTTTTATAAAGGGGATCGATTTCAATGTGCTTGTTGATCGCTGATTGACGGGAATGTCAAGCTCCTAAAAATTCTCTGGTGTTTTTAAAATTGTCTCTATCCAAGATTTTCACATTTTCCAGTCGAATATGTGTCCGCAGTTGTCCACATGCATTGATATAAGTGAGGAAATGTCATGGCGTTTGCCCGCTTGTTGATGTTCATACAGGCAACGGTGAAGAAGGCATCCCTTTTATCCAATGTAGTGTTTTTCACAGTTGGCACAACTTATTTTGGAGATTATGTTCGGTTTTTCATCTTTTGTCATTTCATCCTGTGGCTTACATAAGACTGATTGCTGTGATTTTGTTGGTTTGTGTGCAACACCTATTTTGAAAGGTCTTTAGGACAAGCAGCCAACCATATGTGGAGAAATTCGAACATTTCACTTCTACCTGAAGTTTTTGCTGATGATGTCGTTCAGAAGAACGACGAAAGCTCCACGACCAAACCATCCAGCTCAGAGAACAAAACTCCATCAAAACCACCCACCTGAGCTACAAATCTTCTCCACCACCTCAATGGGTTTATAGTTTCATTTGACTATATCCAAATGAGTAACAATTTGATATCTCACAAACGTTAGATATGAATTGATTAAATAACTATAAATGGTAACTTGACTTTGTAGATGATTCAAAAACTGGCATAAAATTCTATCAACTAATTACAAATATTTTTAAGGTTTTAGCGAATCGTCCTAACTAATGTCACTTGTAGTTTATACTTTATAAAGGTACTTTTTGTCTAAATAAAATAATTGGTGAATGTTACTTATTAGTAAATATCTCTTTTTAAGTTCATCCTATATTCATTATACGGTATTATTCTATCATAATATATTAAAATTGTGATAACTTAGGTCTCTGTAGACTTATTTTAAAAAGAAACATCAGATATATAATCGAAATAATTTATTTTTTTCAGTTTAGGCATTTAGTTGTTGAAAAAAAAGCGAATTCCAGCCAAGAACTTCTACTCTGAATATGACTGGTAACCAAGAACATCATGAAGATGAACGGCCAAAACAAGATAATAACTCAATACTATCCTCGAATAATAATGAAACAACCTCAAAACACTCTGAATTCTATAAGAAACTGCCGTTACTTTTATTCATTACGGCCTATATATCATTTTGTTGTCTTGGTGCACTTTGTTTAACCCTACTAGAACGACCTACAGAAAGACTAGAAAGATTGCGCTTACACGCTTCACAAATCAATTTTTTGAGGACTAATCCATGTGTATCAAGTAATATATGTATATTTGTTATTCAGTAATTTTTTTGCTTTGTGTCAGATCTCATTACTGGTGGTATTTTAAAAGTTAATAGATCACTGAGGTCTCATTAATACACCAATCTATCGAATAGGAAATTTTAAGGGAAAAATACTATTAATAAAAATAAAACAAAATAAGTAACGATTGTTTATAAAGAATACCTGTGACTGTGTTCAACGATCATTTAAAGGTTAAAGGTTGACCATTTCGTTTACGACCTGAAAAATAAATGTCATTTTGAACATGAGTTAATTCCTTATTCTCCTGACATAATTCTTAAGTTTAAGAGTACTTTTTTAGTCTCAAACACGAATTGTAACAGGCGTATGCCCTAATTAATTTACATGAAGGAGTCCAACTAACTGGTAATCGAATTCAAGAGATGGAGTCTTATGGAAACATAGGCTCATTTCCTTACAATAGTCACTTTTTAACTTGCAGTATCGTGAGTTTAGCCCACATCTAGTTCCTAGTTTTACTTTAGTTTTGACTTTCTTTCTATATGAAACCGGATAAGTCATTGTGATTTCCTTATCAGTAATACTGTTATAAATATTTCCAAAACATATTTCATATTTATTCATTAGTAGTCTACCAATATTGTTATTTAGTCTCTCCGTGTCAACACTTTTTGTACATCGTTTCCACACAAATACATAGTGTTATCAAATCAAAGAATCATAACTTAAAAAACCTGTAAACGCAGTTTTTTCGCCGATAGCCTAGATTTTTAAGCCTTATTTCTCTTATCTACGGTGGTTTATTATAAAACTGTGGAATAATTTTACACGTAATTCCAAAATCCGGACACAAATTACGGGAAAATGTATAACGTCCGAAAATAAGTAGAGAAAAACATTTCAATACAGATTTAGAAAAAACTAGTAATTTTAACTCTCATTGAACCCCCATTGTAAAGTATGTCATTGTGAGCATTGATTTTTTTTTTAAATCAATAGGTGAAAATGATCAATCTTAAGGTCTGACAGACATGAGTTTTCATTTTGATTATTTTTTAGATAGCATATGATAAATACTAGTGTGTATTAAAATATTTTACTTATTAAGATGAATTAAATCACCAAGATTGTGTATTTATCTTATTCTTCTTCAAGGTGAAGAACTTCAGAAGTTTGTTAGTTATATTGTATCAGCCACAAAAATGGGTATATCAATGACACCAATTAAAAATATTAGCAAATATGACTTACTGAGCATTCCTAAAAATTGGCACGAAAATTTTTATTTGGAAATGAATGCTGAAGTAAATGCTCAACTGGAATCAATCGCTAGACGTATTCTAACTGAAGAAGAAATAAATAACAGCAGTTGGAACTTTTATGAATCAGTATTTTTTGTGATAACAGTTATCACAACTATAGGTAAGATTAAAATAGTGTCACAATTAACATGGATATATTAAGTAACAGATTTTTGCATTCATGTCACTGGAAAATAATCATAATTTAGGCAGTAAAAATTGATAACTTAGTTAAAATGTGAACTTTTATTGAAAGAATTTCATAGAACAAGATGATTATGACCAGCATTGCGATCCAAGGAGCGCGTTTCATCCTATACATGGTGAACGTAAATCTCAATGTTCACATTCACATTACGACTCAAGTCTATTACATTTTGTGCCAAAACGCAACTCCTGGATTCCATTACTAGCCACTATCCATTTATTTTGTAAAAGTTGTTACAAAAAGATTATATCTAAGCGTTCCACTTAGGATCTGCATATACTAACAAAAACTGGTCAAAATGCAGTCCTTTATTTCAACAACGGGAATATTCAAGCCCATCTCACTATTCATATTTTATTCAAAATGTTTTATTACTAGTTATTTAACGCAGATAAAACCGTTACTTTTTCCTAAAACTTAAAAACAATCTGTTGACTTTAAAGTATAGTATTTTCACTGCTGATCAAGTGACCATGGCCAGAAACTTCAAATCTTTTATTGATAAAAGTGATATCAATGATGAAAGATCCGTTTATTAGAAATTTTCATCAATTGCAAGTTTTGCATATTCAGTTCGAAAAGATCAATTATTTAAATCGTTTTTATCTTGAGTGCTATTAACCAGTCTAATTATTTATTATCTGTAAGAGAAAAACTTTTCGTGATCATAAGTAATAGAAGTAAATGGACCGTTGATAAAAAAAATCCATGTTAACTTGAAAGACATTAATGATTTATGAACAATTGAACAAGAAAATACTTCAACGTTTTATTTTGAAACATTGTTTCAGTAACAGGGCTAAAATATCTTTGACAAACACACGCCTATCACTCTGTTAATTTTTAAGAGAAATATGACAACTGGTTACAGACGAATTGAATATCCAATATTTTTATTAATATAATTAATATGTGTACTCACAGCAATGAAATCAATGTTTAGCGATTTACTATATGCATTATCAGTATAGATGCTTGTTCTGTTTCCCGAATCCAAAACCACATATAGCTGGAACTTATTGTTCTATAGTTATGATGCTTTTAAAATCATGTTATATAAGAAAATTATTTGTACATGTTAATTAAACAATAGCATATTTTTCCACTTGGATTACTTTTATATTAGTCGTAGTATTGTTAAATGTTTAAAAACTAATTTAAGACGGGACTATACCCATTATTTTTATAATGTTCCATCTTCTTAATAATGAATAAACTGATCCCGAAAAAAATTGAAACCTAATCATTAAAACTGAGAAGCTATTTACCAGCTTAAAGTCTAATAGAAAGAAATGATGTAAACAGGTGGGAATATTAACAATTTTATCATACGTGGGAATAAATGAATGATTTTTAGAAATTAATCACTTACTTACGCCTGTTACTTCTTGTGGAGACTCATAGGCCGCTTACCAGCGTTCTCAATCCAACTCTGTCTTGGACAGTCCTTTCCAGTTGCTATTTATTCTTTCGATGTCTACTTCCGGTTCCGAGTGCAATGTGCTCTTTGACCTTCCACTTTTCCGTTTTCCTTCAGGATTCCAGGTTAGTGCTTGCTTCGTGATGCATTTTGATGATTTCCGAAATGCTTGTCCTATCCACTTCTAGTGTCTTTTCCTAATTTCCTTCACAGTTGGAAGCTGGCTTGTTCTCTCCTACAGTGGGCTGGTGCTGATGGTATCAAGCCAACGGCCATTGCGTATCTAACGTAGATAATTGTTTATAAATACTTGTACATTTTTGATGATGGTTGAAGTGGTTCTCCAAGTTTCAGCTACGTACAGTAGAACTGTCTTGACGTTCGTATTGAAGACTCTGACTTTGATAGTGTTTGGCAGTTGTTTTTAGTTCCATATGTTCTGCAACTGTAGGAATGCTGTCTTTGCTTAGCCAATCCTTGCCTTCAAGTCTGCATCGGATCCTTCTTGTTCGTCGATGATGCTGTCCAGGTGTGTGAACGTTTCCACCTCTTCCAAAGTTCCTCCACGAAGTTTGATCGTGTTGGTGTTCCCCGTGCTGTATTTGAGGATCTTGGTTTCTACCTTCAATATGTTGGGGCCTACTGCTTCAGCGGCTGCTACTACACTAGTTGTCTTCACCAGCATTTGTTGGTGTGCATAGAAGAGAAGAGCTAGGTCATTTGCGAAGTCCGAATCGTCTAGTTGCACCCATACTCTCCGTTGTATTCCGTGCTTCCCCTCATATGTGGAGGTCTTCATAATCCAGTCAATCAGTAGAATAAAGAGAAAGGGGGAGAGTAGGCAACTTTGTCTGACTCTGGTCTTTACTTGGAATGCATCTGTCAGCTGTCCTCCACACACCACTTTGCAATGTAGTCCGTCGTATGGAACGCGGATGGTGTTGAGGATTCCCTCAAGTACATCATAGTGTCGAAGATGGTTCCATAAACTTCTCTCATCCACACTGCCGAATGCTTCCCTCTGGTCAAGAAAGTTGACGAACATTGACGAATCCCATCCAATCGATTGTTCAACGATGACCTGTATTGTCACGATTTGGTTTGTGCACGACCAATCCTTATGGAATCCGACCCGTTGATCTCGAAGTTGGGCGTCTACTGAATCTTTCACCCTGTTCAGCAACAATCTGTCGAATACGTTTCCTGGTACTGACAATAGTGTGATGACTGTGTATTTCTCGCACTTGCTCAGATCTCCCTTCTTGAGTATCTTGGTGAGATATCCTTCTTTCCAGTCTGTCAGAGGCACTAGTTCTTCCTCGCAAATCCTCCTGAATGGAACGTGAAGCATGTTTGCGATTACTTCTGTGTGTGACTTCAATGCTTCAGCTGGTATATTGTCAAGTCGTGCTGCTTACTCACTCCTGATTTCTTCGATCGTTGGTAGAGTGGTATCTATAGGAAGGTGTGTGCTGCTCCGGTGTCCGGTGGATTCAATGGAGCTGTCCTACTCAATATTTTCTCACGGTGTCCTACCCATCTTTTTCTGCATTCTTGAATCTCAGTGGTTGGCTTGCCTTCTTTGCCTTTGACCAGTGTCTCTGGTTTATTATATTTTCCTGTTCGTTTCTTCGTCGTGCCAAATGGCTATTTGATTTTTCCTTCCGTTGCAGCTTTTTCCGCAGCCATTGCTTGGTCTTCTACGTATTTCTGCTTGTCGGCTCTAAATCTCCTCCTCAATTGCTTGTTTGCTTCAGTGAATTCAGCTTGTGCCTTACTTGCTCTGTTCTTATTCGGCTGTTGTTATTCGCTGTCTTCTTGTTCTCTCTTTCTTGAATCTTGTCCGGGATTTCGATGGAGATCCATTCTTCATGATGATGGTTGTTGAGGCTCAGCACTTCCTGACACGTTGAAGTTAGTGCTATAACTCTTGGTACTGTGTCCTTGGCTTTTGTTTTCTTCCCGTCGCCAATTGTTATTACTTGTGGATTTGTGCCCCTATCAATGTATACCGTGATGATACAGCCAATTAGAGAATTGTGAATTATTGATCGGTCTAGTGACGCCTAAAACTCATGCGAGCACTCTAGAGTCCTTATCGGTTCTGCTTTCTGCCTAGCCCAGCCAGTTAAGTCCAGAACATCAATCTCAGTCTCTGAAATATGAATAATGTATTCCAAACATACGGGGTTTATATACAAACCAAACAGATCACATCGTACCATAAAGTAGGAAATAACTTTTGTACAAAATTTAGCCAAATGTAGCTGTGAGTGTGGGAGGTAGTAATTAATAGACAGGGCATAATTCAAGAATGGTAAATCTTAGAATAATAGTTCATAAGTTAAAATAAAGCTCATAATAAAAGGGACATGAATATGAATAATTTAGTTATTTAACAATTATATGATAAAAATGTATGCATTGTATTGGTCCATAAGTGGATCCAAAAAGTTACCATTCATTATGCTTATCGGAACATAACGGTTAGCGCTTCTTTGATGCCTTTCCAGTTATCTTCCATGGTGATTTCGTCTCGTTACAGTAGATCTTGTAGTGTTTGAAACCTGTTGTTGACAGCTATCTTGAATTGTTTGAGTTTGACAGTATAATTAAGGAACGCTGTATTGAACCTTTGTTTCCCCAGTTGCTCAGTGCTCCTTTAGCCTCAGTTTCATCATGGTAACCACCAATTGGTGGTGATACGTAGTTATGTCAGCTTCTGTCCTGGTTCTCACTTCTTCTATCGACCTTCTGAATGTTTTAGTTATGCAAATACGGTCGATCTGGTTTTGTGTAATCCGGTCCAGTGAGACCCATGTGGCAAGCTTTGTGTATGCGTTTGTGTAGGGGTGTTGTGCTGCCTATAAATGTCTATAGGAAGGGGCATCGGCCTTGTGACCTCTGAAAAATCTCGGCCTTCATCATGCGGCGTTACAGTCCTTCCCTCAACTCACAGGGTAGAGTTTAAATGGTTTAAATTGTTCGATCTGTTTAGTATTCATATACTAACATCTTTATCATATTGACGATTTCCCTCTTTCTAATTGTATTTTTCAAATATTTCTACAAAAATATTACAACATTTATATTTACTTTAATAAGTTTTATTCTTTAGTAACAGCCTTTATAGGATTTTCGATGTGTAATCACTATAGTACTTATTTTAACTAGTATTATATGAGGTCAAATGGAGTGTAAAAATTGTCATTAAACTAATGATTGTCATAGTGTGCTTTGTTGTAGGTCAAAAAGATTTTTGAAACAAACTGATCTGTTTGCTTAGTGTAAACATTATTCACTAAATAACGTTAGACTTAATATTGATAAGTCAAATTGTCAAACCCATCTCTCGTTATCATCAAACCTTACAACACATTAAACTACAGAAATTTGAAGCCGTCACGCATATAGTATACTAGAACTCTTATGGAATATCTGTTAAACAGCACTTTTTTCGAAGCTAAAAAAAGCCAGAATTATATCGGTCTCT